CACACACACACACACACTTGCACTGCATGAGCTGCCACTAGGCAACTGCACGAGCGATGTTGAGCGCTTCGTCCGGTGTCATGCCAGCACTCTCCGCTTCACGCTTTGCCTTGTGATAGGCACAACTCTTGCGGGATTTCAGGGCTTTCTCCTCCTCCTTTGGATCACTTGTAGCCTTTTTCGGGTTCCCCCTCCCCCTGCCTCTGCCCCTGCCCCTTCCTGTGGCCTTCGCTGAGGCTTTACCTTTGGCTTTGGGCTTCACGACCCTTTGCTTCGCTTTGGCCTTGGCCTTGGTCTGGGCTTTAGCTTTGGCTTTGGGCTTACGAGCAGCAGGGCGCTTCATCGGCTTGGAATCCTCCTCTTCCTCGTCATCTTCCTCTTGCAGTTCCTCTTCTTGTTCCTCACCATCCCCCTCTTCCTCACCATCCATCTCTTCCTCATCATCCATGTCTTCCTCAGGCACTTCCTCCTCAGAGGGCTCATACTCTTTCTCCGCCTTTCCTTGCTGCTCTTCGGGGGAAAGGCTTGCCACCAGAGCTTCCATGCATTCTGGCTTGGGGGGAAGGGGTCCAAGGTTATCATCAAGGCGGGAGGTCTTTTCATGGTCTTCCCAAGGCCCAGCAACTGCTTGTTCTGTGCACGTAGTGGTTCTCAGCTTCTTTCCTCCACGCTTGGCCTTTTTTTTCGTTTTGCCCGAAGCCGCCACCGAAATCAAAGGCTCATCCTCTGGCTCCTGTGCCTCATTGCTCTCATCAGGTGTTGGTGCCTCCTTTCCTTGTTCATGCTCATCAGGTCTTGTTGTATCGATCATTTGCTCATGCTTGCACTCCTTTGCAGGTGCCACGTGCTCTTGCTCAGTATGTGTTTCCTCCTTTACCCCCTTAGGTGTTGCTGCCTCATCACGTAGAAGCCAATACCCAGACCCTTTGGAAGTGTCAGACTGGGCATCATCAAAGGACAGCGCTCTAGACACGCAATCAAAAGAGGGCTGCCGGTCATGAGGCCACCCGCCGGCATGCACCTGCGTCTCCTGCTCGTCCATGCCTCAGATGAAGGCTGACTTGTGAAGTGCAACTGCCGTGGCATGTGTACTGCAGTATCGTACTGATCGAATCATGCAGCACTAGGTGCTAACAGTGATCTTCGGAGGCACTTCTGGTGGGGGCTCATAAAGCCTGCGCCTCTTTGCATCCTCCAAGTCCCGCATGATGGCACGAAGTTTCACCTGGGCTGTGGTGCTGTAGTCTATCATCAATAGTATGAATACTAGCGTAGAGAATCTAGATTGGGTGGTGTTGGAGTTGCGACCTAGGGACAAGCTCTTCCAGCTTCTTTTGCTTCTCAGGATCACAACGACATGACGATATCTCACGGATCTCACCCGTCACGCCACAGACCTTGCACCGATAGGTCCCTGTCTGGGAACCACCCACTGGCTCCACCACGTGCACACCCATCACTGGCACACCTGCAGCATATTTTCTAGCTACTTATTTATCATGGTTTTGTGGGTCTGTTATGTGCAATATCATGATACCTTCCTGACAGAGACCCCAGTCTTCAACATGACCAGATCCTATAGGGACAAGCTAGGCTTCATGAGCATCGGCATTGCATGGTGATTAAAACAACCCGGCCTGCGGCACCTGAGGCCGGAGGAGTGGACTTCACCGGGGCAGTACTGCGCATAGGTCCAGCCGTATCAGACAGCTCGACTGTGCTTGGAGTTGGAGGCTTTTCAGGGGCTTTTGAGGGTGGCTTGGACTCCTGTGGCTTTTCAGAGGCTTTTGGGGATGGCTTGAACTCCTGGGACCCCTGTGGCTCTTCATCTGCTTTTCGGAGTGGCTTGGCTTGCGGCTTTTCAGAGGCTTTTGGGAGTGGCTTGGACTCCTGTGGCTCTTCAGTGGGTTTTGGGGGTGGTTTGGACTGCTGTGGCTCTTCAGCGGCTTTTGGGGGTGGTTTGGACTGCTGTGGCTCTTCAGCGGCTTTTGGGGGCGGCTTGGACTTCTGTGGCTCTTCAGTGGCTTTTGGGGGCGGCTTGGACTCCTGTGGCTTTTCAGCAGAGTTTGGACTTGTCATGCTACCAGCATCCATGCGTCGGAGCTTCTGTGCAGGCTCCAGAGAAACCAGGGCTTCAGGCGGGTTTTCATGAGGCTTCGGGTCTTCTGGCGCAAGAGTCACCGCCACCACAGCCTCAGCATTAATTTCGGGATCATCATCAAATCCTTCTTCCTCTTCCTCCCCTTCTTCCCCGGAGCTCTCTCCATCATCAGCCGTGGCTGCAGGTATGGGCACACCTGCGATCATCATCAACCTTCTGATTCCCTCGGATCGGGGTCGATGAGGCCGACCACAGATGCGGTTGAAGCATGAGTTCAACCGCTTCAATGACCAAGCAATCGTAGAAGCCTGCGAACCTAAGTAGATGACAAAACATTGACGCGGGTTTAGGGTTTAGAGTTTAGGGTTTAGGGTTTAGGGTTTAGGGATTGCATTCATCACTCAGTCGATCTCTCACTCCCTCAAACTTAATCTATCTCTGAATCTCGACTTATGTATCTTAAGAAGGATATAATATGTCGTATGCCATATGTTCAAGAAAGAGGCTCGAGACTGGAAGCATCATGAGGCTGTAGAGGGCCTTCACATGGACCTCAAGGGTTTCCACTCCCACTCTCGTTCCAAGGCATAGGATCAAGTCAGTGAGGAGGTCTTCGTTGAGTTCAACAGCTATCCGATCGAATTGATTTGAAGGTGGCATTCGGACCTTAGTCGAAATCTCAACATATGTACTGACCCATGCATGGCGCACATGACAAACACACATGGCATGTCCTCAGTGCAGCCAGTAGTCCATTGTGTACATTGAAGCCCTACGCCGAACCGAGGCTTGCTTTTCCCAAGCACGGGCTAGGTCGGTAGACGGAGTCTTTTCGACATGTTCAGGAGGAGGCACAGACTCCACCATGGCAGTGCCAACCATATTGAACTCAGACAACCCCTAGTGCATGCATGCATGTGCAATGTAACATGATGGATGTCATCGGCAGCCAGCTTTAAACATTTAAATGCTGCGACAAGTGTCATGCACACTCCTGTGGCAATTGTACACACACACACACACCCACACTACCTGATACACTGGCCTCTATAAGACTGTAGTGCAGGCTTATGGCATGCAGAGGGGTGGGCGCACCTTTGTCCCAGGCTCACCACCAGAAGGGAAGCCAGCCACCTGGCCAAGCATATCACGCAGCCTGCTTACAGTATTCTGATCACACGACATCTATCTGAAAGCCAAGGTATATCATGCTCCTGCACATCCACCGAATGCTCATGATGCTCTTGGCAAACGGGGGCCTTCCACAGAAGACCATGGGTCAGGGATGGCACTGGCATGCCATGTGCTATGATACCCTATAAATTATTAAGTTATAACACCTCAAGTTGCCTAGCATCCTAGCTGACCATATATGCTACGAATGTACGGAATTTATATGTTCGAGCATCTGAGCTTGAACAGCCATGATCCAACATGGGATGTCGATCGATGTGATTCATGACTGTCTGAGCCACTGAGGATTTTTGCACGCTTTCAGGGTTTCTGCCCGCTTTGCCCGTTTCAAGCCCCAAACACAGTCCCAAACCCGTTTCCACTACAACGAGCAAACAACCCAGAATTAACGTATCAATGGAAGCAACAGGTATGTATGTATGTATGTATGTATGTATGTATGTATGTATGTATGTATGTTAGTTATGTATGTATGTATGCATGTATGTATGTATGTATGTATTTTCATATGTATGTGTATGTATGTGTATGTATGTGTATGTATGCATGCATGCATGCATGTATGTATGTATGTATGGATGTATGTATGGATGTATGTATGTATGTATGTATGTATGTATGTATGTATGTATGTGTCTATGTGTGTTTTTGTGTATGCGTGTATGTATGTGTATGTGTTTTTTTATGTGTATGTGTATGTGTATGCGTATGTTTGGGTATCAATATACACACACATATATACATATACATATATATATATATACATATATACATATATATATATATATATATATATATTATGTAGTTATGCACGTGAGAATCAAATATGTGTACCTATGTTTTCATATGTGTGTACGTAGGTAGTTAGGTAGGTAGGTAGGTAGGTAGGTAGGTAGGTAGGTAGGTAGGTCGGTGTATGCATGCATGTGTGTATAGATGTATATATATATATATATATATATTGACATACACATAACTACGTGTACAGGCACCATAAGCGGATAGTCTGACTAGTTTTGCATGCTGTGGCGATCTCAGACTCAAGGTATGTAATAAGTACCTACTCATGGTTCAGGGCTGCATAGGCCTAGGGCTTCGGGTTCTATGGAGGTCTATGCGCAGTGGCAGCATGCCCATTGCGATTCGGAGCTTCAGGGCAAGTCAAGGCATCAAGAGGCCTGCGCCCTGAACTTAAAGCCCTAAACCCTAAACCCCTAAACCTCTAAATCCCAAACCCTAAACCCCTGAACCCTAAACCCTGAACTCCGGATACCGCCGAAACGTAGCAGCCACAACATCCTAGGCCCGAGCCCCAGAGCGCTTCTGAAACCTGATTAACCTGTAATTCGACAGTCCTGCCCAACCAAAGCCTAACTGATGGTTCTGTACAACTCCTAGAAAAGGCTTTATGAAATCCCTGTAATAACAAACGTTCCGGGTGTAGGATTTATGAAGTCCTTGTAATGAGAGAAGTAACAGACTACCTCCTATGGCCTAAACCCTAAACCCTGAAACCCTAAGCCCTAAACCCTAAACCCTAAACCCTAAATCTAAAACCCTAAACCCTAAAACACTAAACCCTAAATTTCAACCCTAGAAGTTCTGGTCGGTGCCTATGCTTCCAGGACCCCCCGCCTAGACCTGGATGACACGCCCCCGGCTGTGCGTCCGGGGCTGCCTGTCCGCATTGTTTGGTGTTGCTGAGTTTTGATGTTAGGGTGGGGCCGGTCGAGACCCTACCCATAGGCTCCATAGTAGTTCCTTTTTGTGGTTTATATTTGGGATCTCATAGGGTATTCTCAAAAGGAACTACTGTGGAGCCTATGGGTCAACCCTGTGTTGGGAGATTGAGCTCTGTTGTCTGAGGAAGGCTTTGAGTTCACTCGCGGCTTATGTGTGAGTTTCTGAAGCTCCTTTCAATAGGACTTTGAAAGAGTCACAGTGGCATTGCTTCAGGTGCCGTTAAAGAGTTCCAAATAGTAAGACCGCCCTTCAAGGGCCATAGATGTATGCCAGCTTAGACCCTCAAGCAACCATAGAGCGGAGCGGAGACCACCACCAAGACGACCACGCCACGACGACTTGACGACTAGGACGAACACGACCAACAAGAACTCCATAGAGTGTGCCGCACTTGTTTGGTGCCAAACCGTCACAAAAGATTGATAAAGCAGTAAGAGAACCGCGCTGTATATCAAATACAGTAGCCCTCCGAGGTTGCCTGATGAACTGTCCAGGGCATCCTGCCCGCCCTTGTCGATTCCGCGGGAGCCTCGACTTGGGCACCCAAAGCCCTCGCTACCCACAGGCTCCATGGCAGTTCCTTCTTGGGATTACCTATAGGATCCTAAATCTAAACCCACAAAAACGGAACTACTATGGAGCCTATGGGTACATCACACACACAAGCCCTGCACAGCAACCCTAAAGCCCTGAATTTTAGCAAATTTGTTGAGGCGTCAGGGAGCGGGATGGGGGTTTAGGGTTTAAGGCTTACAGCAAAGCGGATCCTCGTTTCGTTGTAGGTTCTGAACGCCCGAACTTCCTTTACACCCTAAGCCGTAAACCCCCTGAACCCTAAACCCAACACCCCTAAGCCCTCAACCCCTCAACCCTACCTATAGTCTCCATTGTAGTTCCTTTTTGGGGATACCTTATAAAATCCTTAATATATAAATGGTAAGAGCCAACAAAAGGAACTACACTGGAGACTGTAGGTAAACCCTAAACCCTAAACCCTAAAGTTT